AGAGAGGTGGCCTGCAGGGATGCCCTGAGATCATCTTTCAAATGCAAACCCTTGGGAAGATGCTGTTGGCCACATGTCGGGCTCTTGAACTGTCTTTTGCTGCCCACTTCACAAATGGAATGGGTGAGGCCAAAAGACTGGATGTACACGAGTTCATGGGCAGTTTCCTGTTCAATGTTCATGGATTTTATGAACTAGACTCTGCAGAGGGGTAAGTACCCCCAGGGACAGTTATTCCTACTTTTCCTGCAGTGAACACTTTCACTAAATTTGGAAGTTTAAAACCACTTTTTTTCCGGTTGTCAGTGACTGGGCACTTACTGATTGAATTCCTTCAGGCTCTGCTGCTCCAACAACAGCTGCAGCTTCATTATCCACTTCCTCTTCTTTCCTCTCTTGTCCAGGAAGAGAGGAAGCCAGAAGAGGTTCTGGTGCCAGAAGAGGTTCTGGTGCCACTTTTGTGCCCTGGGGACAGTATCATAAGTGACACTGACCATTCTGTGCCTTGAAAGCTTAGATTGTTATGCAGAATAACAAAAGGGTAAGTTAACCCTCTGCCAATTTTTTTTTTCAATTTTCATGGATTTTCTGAACTACACCCTATGGAGGGGCAAGTACCTCCAGGTTACAATTATTACTGTGTGTCCTGCAAGAAAGACTCTGACTTAACTTGGAAGTTAAAAACCTCTTTTCCAGGTGTCAGTTTGCTGGGCACTTACTGATTTAATGCCTTCAGGCTCTGCTGCTCCAACAACAGCTGCAGCTTCATTATCCACTTCCTCTTCTTCACCCTCTTGTCCAGGAAGAGAGGGAGCCAGAAGAGGTTCTGGTGCCACTTTTGTGCCCTGGGGACAGTCAGTGATGTCAGGGACAGTCACCATTCTGTGCATTGACAGCTTGGATAGTTCCATACATTAACAAAAGGGTCATTTGACACAGTGCCAAATTCTTGTTCAGTGTTCACGGATTTTCTGAACTAGGCCATGCACAGGGGCAAGTACCCCCAGGGGACAGTTATTCCTATGTGCTCTGCAAGAAACACTCTGACTAAACTTGGAAGTTAAAAAACCCTTTTCCAGGTGTCAGTGGCTGGGCACTTACTGATTTAATTCCTTCAGGCTCCTCTGCTCCAACAACAGCTGCAGCTTCATTTTGAGCTTCCTCTTCTTCACCCTCTTGTCCAGGAAGAGAGGAAGCCAGAAGAGGTTCTGGTGCCTCTTTTGTGCCCTGGGGACAGTATCATAAGTGACAGTGACCATTCTGTGCCTTGAAAGCTTAGATTGTTATGCAGAATAACAAAAGGGTAAGTTAACCCTCTGTCAATTTTTTTTTCAATTTTCATGGATTTTCTGAACTACACCCTATGGAGGGGCAAGTACCTCCAGGTTACAATTATTACTGTGTGTCCTGCAAGAAAGACTCTGACTTAACTTGGAAGTTAAAAACCCCTTTTCCAGGTGTCAGTTTGCTGGGCACTTACTGATTTAATTTCTTCAGGCTCCTCTACTCCAACAACAGC